TCAGATACTGGATTAAATCCTGGAAATGGACAGTTCTAGCAATATGGTATATAATCTTCTAAAAGTGGGTGAACTGTCGAACAGAATTCCTTCCTAAGTAGGGAATATTATATTTTTGGCCATAGGCCTTCACCAGAACTTGTAATATGTTACATGAAAAGCTCAAACCGCATGGCACAGACAGTCATTTGTAGAAAACTTTCCACTTCTTCGTGCTCTGAGACTAATGTTAGGATCAATTCTCATGGATTTCAGGAGGAAGAGACAGCTGACCACAGATTTGGCTCAGAAATCCACTCTTTTACATCAGGGGCCATTCTTTTCTAGAGGGCAAGTAAATATTTTTACAGACATGAATGGAACTGGACACTAGATGATCTGGAACATCAATCAAAGTTAAATTGCTTCTTAAATGAGATGTGGAAAGAAGATAAGACGATTTTATTCATTGCTAATATTATGATATGTTTGTGTAGAGCAGAAAGGATCGCACAGCACTACAAAAAGATTATGCTGCAGACAACTTACAATCTAAATGATAAAAAAGACTAAATGCAGAAAAACTACATTTGCTCCCTAGCATCAGCTGCAACAGGACAAGAAATGTTGGCCTGTCAAGAGTAAACTATTTTATAAAAATATCTTCTTTCTTCTTGGCCCCAATGTTTTCCACCCATCCTGCAAAAGAGAGCCTACTATAACCGGAAGTAAAATTCCGAGACCATGAGGGTTTATTAATCTTTATGGGGTTTGTGAATATCAATCTATTTTAAAACAACGTTTTTTTAGAAAAAAATTACACAAATAGGTTTCTTTGTTGAAATCTAAGATGGATAAAATTGTAAGCAATTAGTTGAGTTGGTTTTAAGCTGTTAACTCAATAACTGCTCAATATTTGTATCAGTATTTTGAAAGATATTTTGTAGATATGCTTGCGTTAGACATTCCTTCCTCTTTGGACAAGCCTGGTAACTGGCAATATTCTATGTAAAATACTTAGTAGTTCTGACATTCCAATGGCTTGACACTTACATTCCCTGACTCAGATATGATCAAAAGGTGTCCTTCAATGCATCATATTAAATTTTGACCACTCATTTAGCAAATTACAGAAAGGCAGCTATCAATCATGGACTTTGCATTTATTTTCTTAGAGAAGGTCCAAATACTGCAAACTTTATGTAGAAAATTTTGCATGTAAATTAATTTTGGCCCTGTATTTCCAATGAGAAGAAATGAGAACACATCTAAGGTTTTTAAACATAGAGAATATCTTCACAGCTTATAAATCTCTTGCTGATTTCAGCCAGTTTTGTCAGGACGAAGACTGTCCAGAGACAAATACAATCATACGGAGTCTATGGAAATGGGTATTTTCATAAATGTTTAAGGGATCATTCACATAGCCAAAAAAGAGACAGAAGATAGAAAATAAAATGTTCTGATAGTGGTACCCAAGATAGTATATAGGTGTTGAAAGGCTTGAATATCAAAAAAAATTGTTCAGGTTCATTTGTTAGTTGAAAGCCAAGATGTGGCTTTAAATAGTCACTTCTCTGACTCCAGAACCTTGACTTTACTGATGCCTGTCCTTCAGCATCATACCTTGCGTCTATCGCTTCTTATTTGAGCAGTGCAAGGCTGTTTAAACAGGCATTCTTGATCTCAGCAGAATGGAGAGAAGTCATTTCAGACCTAATGTCTCTTAAGGCTGCTTGGCTTTGTCACTGTAAGTATGCTCAGCATAAGGAATGCCTAACCTGTACTTTCCTTGAAGATATTCCATCTGGTGTGAGCACAGAAGGAGGCAGCATAAATCTGCAGTGTTGCCAGGAAAATTCTCAGTTACTGAGGTAACATTTGGAAGATTTACAGCTTCTAGAAACCATCAGGCTGAAGTCCTTAAAACCCTGGGGAAAATGTCCTCTTCTTATACTTCAAAGTTTACACAATTTCCCTCCCGCCTTGTTTGTGTGATTCAGACTCAGTTGCTGCTCTTACCAGCTGCCTTTATGGGTGGCATATCCCTGCATTGTGTGGGAAACGACCCCACGCAAGTAGAGGGTGGACAAGAGGATCTAGTACTTTAAGGCCCTTTTCTTCAAGCTGTGCTAGCTGTCATCATTGTGGTATGACTCTTTGAATTCCAGACTCCATATATGAGAGATAAATGAGTGCACAAAACACAAACCTAGCAGCAACTCTAGCCTGCCTCCTTAAGCTGCCTTAGTAGTCCATGGAGAAGGTGGAAGGCTCCTGTGGGGGTTGTTTGAAGTAGACAGTTGTCCTCTGGAGCTGCTACTGCCTTTAGGGAGTGAAATGCATGAGAAAATCTTCCCAGGATTACCATCATAGATTCAGAATATCCTGTGTTGGAAGTGACCCACAAGGATCATAGAGTTCAACTTTGATGGCTGTTATTAGGCTTCATGACTACTTGCCCCTAATTGTTGTGGTCAATTCTTTTTGATTCACAAGAATATTTCAATCCAAAGAAAACCACAGGTGTCTGCCCTTCAAAAAACTGCTGATTGAGGACTATAGATGGCTGAAGCTTGTATGACCAGAGGTTAGAGAGTGGCTGTCTGGCAAAAAATTGCTATAAATCAAATTTACTTCCCAGAGCAGTGTGCAGGAAATGAATTCATCATAAAAATCTGCAAAAGGTATTTTATTTTACTCAGTGATTAAAATGATAATTATGTTCATTCTTTAAAAGAAATAAAACCAAAACCATGCTAATGCAGAGACTGACCTGCTAAATACAGCTTCTGGAGGAGCAAGGGTGAAGTGCCATAATTCAGAAATTTTGAGGCCCATTGTGACAATTCAACACAGTTGTTGGTTATCAGGAGTTTCTACAAAATGTTGTGAGATAGAGAATTACAATCATCCCCAGCCTCATAGGTTTCAGATCAGGAGCATCATATATTTGGTTGGCCAAACTGGAGCCAGAGAGCATCATCAGCCATAACTTTCTCTTAAAGCTAATTGAGTTCACCCATTTTTTCCTCCATTAGATGCATGCAGGGAATTTGCAACACAACATTCAAGTCTCATCATCATAAAATGAGACTCTGGGCAATTCTGAATTGCACTCTTCATCTTTACTGTATTCTTTCCCACCCCTCTGTAAGGTGGGGGTGCCAGTGTCTCAGGAAGTTTGAAACCACAGACACATGAGGCACGTATCTCAGGGTTTCTCTCATGCACACACATGCAGACTGATCAATACAATATTACTGCCAATGGAGTAAACCTTAAATGAAATTTCTCACTCCTGTAATAGGAGGAGAATTCAGCCTTGTTATAAATGCTCCAATTACAATGTAATCCTATTCATAGAGCTGCATCTGCAATGTAATTACCTTTAATTTATTATGTGCAACTTTGTTATCTGGGTGGAAAGCTCAGGACAACAAACCATGTTAAACAATAGCTACTTTATCTTCTTTCATTTTACCAAGAAGTATTGGTGGAATACAATTACTCTTAGAAACTTAGCAAGTCTGAGCTCTATGAGGCTGAAAATAAAAATCCTTAACACAATTAAAAAACAATTATTTTGTAAGAAAAGTTTTGTTGGGTAGTGTCAGATGAAAATGGACTTCCTTTTTTCTACTCCTATCTAAATCCATCTCCAGCAAAAAAACAGTGCAAAAGGAGGCATTAAAATGTATTTTATTTTTCTGTACATCTTTTGTTTTATATTTGAATGTATTTCTCCGTACTGTAGCTTGCTTGAACAAATACTTTTCATTGTAAACACTTTCAATTGTTTAGACAAACTAAATGTCAGCCAGTTCTAAATGCATTTGCAACAAGAAATCACCAAATCAAAATAATGGCACATGTATCTCAGGCAGCATTAAAGGACTTTAAACAGCAGTGTATCCAAAACAAAAATTCTACATCAAACATAGAAAAACATGGTTAATCTGTTACATCTGTTTAGTTAAGTGATGGCCTTAATTACTTTTAGTCACCCATGGCTCTCATGAAAAGTCTCCACTTTAAATTTAGATTCAGACATTTTTCCATTTCTCTAATTAGGATTTACTCATGTGTAAACAAGCTCAACATTGGTTTACCCACATATATTTATGTTTTTTACTGTGTGGCCTTGCAGAGAAATTCCTGCATGTTTTCTGCCTATTCATATAACTAGTCTCCTTGTCCCACATTTAAACCGCAGCAATAACTTGTTGACCAGTGATTTTTATTTTTTCCTCCTCATAAATAGGTTTTAAAAGGAATATCTGTAACTTAAACCTTGATTTTCATAACCATCTTTCTGATAATCAGAAAGCTGTGCTGAATGTGCCTTCTCATTCACCCCTCCATCCAAATATCCAGAATGGGTATGTGTCTGGGTTATTTTTTCTCTTCTTTTTTCCACATCATACTTGGAGTGGGTGGAGCATGGAGAGATTTCAGCAGGCAATTGAAGCTTCCTAATGAAACTTCTGCTGATATAATGATCAGCATGAATTTCGTAAATGGTTACACCCTTGTGGATATGGTCATTTATTCAAGTCATCTCTGAAACGATTTCTCTCAAGCACAGAATAAAACAGACTGAACACATATTTTCAGTTTGAACTCCTAAATGAACGAGATTAGGCACAGAACATTGATTCGGTGGAGCTAATGCTTCTGAGAATCCTTCAAAATAACATATTCTGGGACATGAAAATGAGATTTTAGCATCTTGTCAGGATTTCTCTCCTTGTAGTATTATCTCAGTGCCCTGTGTAAACAGGCTGATCAGCCCAAGAACATCTATGATTTTGAGTGTTCCCAAACTGTGATTTACCATGTGTTCACGACCAGCATTACTCATTTGCAGAGGAAAGAGTTAAAGTATTGAAGTAGCTGCTCTAGAAGATGTCAGCTGTGCCAAGGGCTCCACAGCATTACATCACATCAGTGAGAGGAGACCAAAGCCAATACATTCATGTGACACCTCATATGACACTTCACATCAAGCAGATACTGTAAGCAACAAGGTCAGAGTGCTTTATACTATTTTTCTCATTTAGTTTTATACACCTCAATTTCTGACCTCTTTCCATTTGCTGCAACATTAACTACACCTAAGTGCACATTTTACAGCATTGAAATGTAAGTTATATCTATTGTATAAATTATACAATTATACACTGGTTTACATAAACTAACAAATTGTAATTAGAACAATTTTCCTATTTGAAAAGCTTAAAATTTGTAATTTAAAAAATAATTTAAAAAAATAATTATCCCTTATTTGGGAAAAAAAATTTGGTTTGTGATAAATTGTATCTCCTCCCTTCTCTCAAGTGTAATCTTCTTTATGGACTACCTGCAATTGTAGTTTATGTAATATGTAGTTTACCAATGCTAGCTGGTATCTGGTTGCTACAGCTAGCACAATTTGAACAAAATTTTAAAAAAAATAGGAAAAAAATTAGAAATTAGAAAAAACGAATTCCATTGACAATAACTGGATTATATGCAGGTCAAACTGACACAATCAGGTTAAGACAATTTTTTATATAAAGTACATTTATTGATACCTGGAGCTTCTCACTGTCACTGGACTTACACAGCATTTAGAAATTCAAAATCTGTAATTTAGATTCATCCATGATGCTATTTTTGAACTATTGTTAGAAAATAATTCTTTCCATGCCATTACCACTTGATGTATCTCTCAAATTTGACCTAGTCCTTCAGTCTGTATTAAGAATTTTAAATCCAGACACATGTATCCAGCTTGAACAGATGAGGAATATTGTTACTCGGAAACTCCACTGACAGAAGGCAGCCTTAATTTATGAGATCAGAAAGAACCCAGGTTATGAGAAGTTACACATCCATATAACATATGGGGGTATTTTAACTGAGTACCATCTCTTTGAAGTTTGCCTAAAGAATAGAAATGAATGACAATTTATATCATACTTGCTCTGTTCAAAGTATTACCAAAAGGCTTTGGTAAGAGAAAGGGAGGGAGAAGAAAGGATAATGTTTGTGGCTGTGTATATCTTAGTGTAGGGAGCAGGCAGTGAGAGAAGCTCTTAGCATGGTTAAGTTTTGTAAAATGACAATAGCAGTTGAGGAAGGCTTCTAAAAACAAAAAATTCAAAAGGTATTGAAAGGATATAAAATGAGAGAAGAGAAAGCACTTAATAGACTGAGAATCAGTAGAACAAATGTGAGCTGATTCCTACTCAAACACTTTATTGTTTTTGCAAGGAAGCAGCAAAACCCTTTTGACCAATTTTAAAGTCACTTGTGAACTAGCTTAGCCCATATCAGAGCAGTATGGCTTGCAAATTGCCATCTTTGTATTTGTCCTTCTCTGGAGTCTTTCTTAACCCCTGTAGAAAAGACCACAGACAAACAGCATGGGCTCAGAATGGGCATTGGAAGGAACAGAAAGAAAATTATCAGGTTTTGACCATGGGAGAAAGTAAGTTCAAATATTCTCAGAAAAATCACTTAAAAATATGTAAATAAATAAATTTATTGAAAACCCATTTAGATTTTTGTTTGTTTCTTTGTTTCCTAGACACAGCCAACACTGGTCTCTTATTTCAAAACAAAAGAAGTATCACTTTTTTCAACCAACGTGTACGACCAAATTCATCTCTATTTAATTTCAAGGATGCCCAGGTTTTTGCTAGCAGCTTCTATGCATCCATCCTATTCTTCTTCTTCTTTTTGCAAAACTCCACTTTTGAGTGAAGAAGTCACAACTCTAATTTTTGGGGAATAATTAACAGGCTGGTTTATTCTGTGATTTCTTCTGCAGATTTTCTGGTGTTTACCCAAGACAGTTTTGCCTACTAGCTCTCAGATGGCTGGTGCCTTTTTTGTGTCCTAATAGAGGTAGGTAATAATACTTTCAAATCAATTGTGATTTTTCTGTTCACATAACTCATAACTTTTTTCCCCAGGTTCCCTTTTTCTCTGATGTGACATTTATATTATGGAGTTTTCATTTGTTGGTTTGTTTTAGGATCCAAGCATGGCTCCTCCAGAAGTGGCTCTGAGCATCTGGACTCACTTTTCTACCATTTTTCTCCTGATCAAATCATCTTGTGTATAAAACCCAGTGTATTCTATACAACCAAAAATGTGTTTCATTTTCTAGTGAATCACTGTGGCTGCCAAATACAACCCAAATGGCAGTCTGAAAAACAGAGTCTCCTAACGGGAATAGAGAATGCAAAAATGTTCCTCTAAGTCACCTGCCAGAAACCTGTTGATACATCATCTGTTGGAAAATATATGGCAACAGTAATTTCATGGATAGTGAGAAATGTTGCCTTTACAGAGAGTTCCTTTATTTCTTTGGTCTGTTCATAAAAGCATCTCAGTCTTTCTACCCTCACCAGTTAGTTCACCTACTTGGCTAATTCTTCCAATCATTTTAATGACTTGGAAAATGTTTGCTTATTTATTTTGCTTGAATTTAAAAACAAAATAATCTTTTTCAAGGCAGGAGTCATGGGCTCCTAGTAAAAATTGGCCTAGCAAAACTTTGCTGAAAGATTCCTTTGTAACTCAAAGACACCCTGGAATTTTTAGGGGCATTTTCCCCTCCCCTTTCAGTGTGTGTACCTTTAGATAAAATCATTAGATGAACATTAATGATTATCTCACCAATGGATACCTTTCTGCAAATAACTAGCTTTATGGAACTAAAACATAACATGTAGCAGAATGTTTTTTTTCAGGGGAGGATGATCTATCGTGATTAGGAATGACTTGCTAACAAATGTGCAGGTTGTATAGGAGACCATCTCAGCATTCATGAAAGTGCCTGCTCACCAGACTGGCTAAGCCTGCTCATAGCATCTGTCGGGCTATGTTATCTAATACAACATCCAGACAGGATCTAAAAGCTGACCTGGGCCAATATCTCCTCACCCACTTATCTGATCTCAACCCCTCAGCCTTGATGGAACGGGACAAGGGCAGCTCACAACATAATCACAGAGTCATTTAGGCTGGAAAAAGACCTCTAAGTTCATCAATTCCAACCTTTGACCAATCACCATCTTGTAGACTAGACCCTGGCATTGTGTCATGTCCCTTTATTTCTTGAATACCTCCAGGGATGATGACTCTACCGTCTTCCTGGTCTGCCCATTCCAATGCTTAATGAACCTTTTCACTAAGAAATTTTTCCAGACGTCCAACCTGAACCTTCACTGTGGCAGCTTTAAGCTATGTCCTCTCACCCTGCCACTGGTTGCCTGGGAGAAAAGACTGATGTCCACTTGGACACACCCTTCGTTCGTGGTATTGTCAAGCATGGTAAGGTGTTTCCTCCCTCAGCCTCCTTTTCTCCAAACTAAACAACCTCAGCTCCCTCATCTGCTCTTCATAGGACTTAATCACTAGTAGTTTCAGCAGCTTCATTGCCCTTCTCTGGACACACTTCAGCACCTCAATGGCCTTCCTGAAGTGAAGGGCCCAGAACTGGGTGCAGGTTTGAAGGTGCAACCTCACAGGGCTGAGGAGAGAGGGACAATCACTGTCTTGGTCCTGCTGGCCACATTCTTCCTGATACAGGCCAGGATGCCACTGGCCTTCCTGGTCACCTGGGCACACACAGTTTGTCTGCTGTTGACCAGCACTCCCAGGTCCTTTTTTGCAAGGCAGCTTTCCAGACAGACTTTCTCCAGCTTGTAGTGCTGCCTGGGGTTGCCTGGTGGCCAAAGTGTGGGACTTGACACCTCACCTTGTTGAACCTCATGAAACTGGCCTCAGTCCATCTATCCAGCCAGTCCAATCCCTCTGTAGAGCCCTCCTACTGTCCAGCAGCCAAATGATTGCATAACTCACCTCAGTTAATATTTCTCTGCAGATAAATTTTGCTTCACTTCAAGACAGAATCTACTTCTTTGGTGCATGGTAGGATATGTCTGGGATGTGTTTCTAAAATGATGTGACATCTTCTGCCATTTAAGGCCACAAATTAGTAGAAGGAAGAGCAATGAGGAAGATTCAGAGCAGAATTATCCATTGATCTGAATAATAATGGCATGTGCAATTACTCATGCTGGGACAGAAGTCACCAGAGCCATTAATCCTCGTGCTTCAGGACATAATTGAGCAACAGCTGGAGTCAGGAATAATTTCCTCTATGGCAGACCATTGCACAATTCTGTGTATTAGGGATATTTATGTCTACATTTGAGAAGGCTGGCATCAGCTCACTTGAAGACAGAAGGTCAAATTAGATGGTCCTCTGGTTTCTTCTGTAGCAATTATTATGTTTTTACACTGATACAAACATTGTAAAAATCCCAAGCTGTCTCAGGCGTCATGTAGGAAATAATGGCTGCTTCTTCATTCTCATTTTTTCCATCTGCTTTGGATAACCTGGAAATTAATACCAGTTGAGTCTGTGGTAACTTCTTGAACCAACAAGTAGCAAAATGAGGAAGTGGAACTGCAAAAGACCATGCAGCAAATAAACATCTTCCATATCAGTGTGTCTACTTTTACCAGAAGTCAATTTTAGCAAATATACCCTATTAGGAAGAGCCATCTCAAAACATGTTTCAACATCTTTAGCATCACCTTGGTCTCACTTTAACTAGTCTCACTTTGACTAGTTGTGTCTATGTGATTTCTTCTGGCAGGATTTCTGTGAACCACCAAGTGGAAATGATGGGAATGGAAATTCAGATAAGATTAAGTAAGTAATTTAAATATAAAAATTATGGAGGTTCTGTACTTCACTCTTCCTTAAAGAAAACCCTGATGATGTTGATAGTTTCGCTAATTCAGTATGCAATGTTTTATGAGTTAGTAATGCAAATTCAGTGCTAGCTGATTAGATTGATGCTGATAATCCAAGATAATAATGAAAAAGAAATTCGGTCTCCCCCAAATATTTCCACTTTGCAAACTACGCAAAGTTTTAGGACTTATATTGCCACTCCCATTAAGACAAGGAATCTACATCTTGTTTTGAACAGTAGCAGAGTAGGTAAATTTTCAAATTCTGTTCCACTTCACACTCAAAATTTAACATTTCTTTTAGCTGATATCTTCTTTGACTCATCTGTATGGGAGCAACCAGACTCAGCCACTGTCCAGTGTAAACAAAAAAGCCTGAATGAAGTCAGAGGAAAGCTCTGTAATCATCTAGTATAATTTGAAGTTGATAGTTTTAGTTTCTACTGTGCCTTAGTCAAGTGTTGCTTGATTTTGATTCTGCCTCTTAAGGATAAAATTCACAACTGTACAGATCATCAAACTATTTAATAAAAAGAATATCTCTGAAGCTATTTATTATTTGTCAATAACAACAACAACAATAATAATAATAATAATAATAATCATCATCATCATCATCTCTATTAACACTGGGGATGACTTTTCTCCTGAAGAGGGGAATTTTAGTCTCCAGAAAATGCCTATAGTTATTCTGAATGTCCATGCTCTTTTCACAGTAACAGACATGGAGAAAAATTTATGCTACAGGAAGTTATTTACCGAGGAGATTCTGAGTAGCTACAAGTAATCATCCTGTGATAGAAGGCCCAGACAAACTGAAGCAACAGGAATTCAAAGGCATTTAAGAAGTTTCCTTGTATTTGAAGTTGAAATAAATAAAAGTTATTGAAAATAACATATATGGTTAAATCAAGTCACTTTACATTTATGTAAGGTGCTATATTCAGAGTATTTCCAGGAAAGCTGTTCTGAAAGTCGATAAATTTAGACTTAATTTATATTCTATCTTCCCATTTCCAGGTTTATGTCTTTCAGAATTAAATAGTTGATTACTGGAGGAAATACAGTGAAATTTTAGTTTTAGTAAAAAAACCTTTGAAATACTCTATAGAGAAAATGTAATATGGATTATAAAAATATGTACACTGTAAATTACAATTTCAAAATAAGCAATCTACAGAGAAACATTGATCAAACAAATTAATGTTAAAGCTAAAATATTTTCCCCATTTCTTTCTGTGTATCTGATGAAAGGAAAATTAAAGGGGAGAAAAGAAAATTAGGGGAAGGCAACTTAATAACAATTTTTCTTTCTGTCTCCCACCACACTTTTTATTTTACCATTCTTGATATTATTCTGTTCTGTCATCTGTTCTACATTAGATCGATATCTCTTAATGTGTTCTCTAAGCAGTTCCTGTGAGAGATAAAGAGAGACTGAAAGCAACTGAGAAACAGAAAGGCATTGTGATGGGAAAGATGGGCACATAATAAATCAGAAATGATTAGAGGTTTTTGAAGGTGTGGAAGAGCAAATTTAGCATGTTGGAAAAAGATTCTAAATTAAGTTTTGCAGTTTAATATCTGCACTAATTTCCACGAAAGTTAGTAAAAGAAGTAAAGTCAAATTTATTGAATTTCAAAGAAGAAAAGTGAAGACTCTACCCCATTAAGTTATTTTTGCTGATGCTTTATTATCTACCTATACTGACTCTGCAGCACCATATACCATAAGCCTTCATAATCTTAAAAGTTCTTGATTTGCTCCAAGAATATTTTATTGCCTCCATATATTTTCTAATTACAAGATTTTAGTTTTAAGGCTAAGTGTCATCTCCTTAAACTGAGTTCTGATTAACAACTCTCTGCATAAAGAGATATCAGCTGTTTCAATTTAATTTATCCATGACAGATTTTAGGATTGAAAAGGCCCTTAAGCAGCTCATGTTCTTATACAAAAAGACTGGAGTTTTCAAGAAGGACAATTTAGAGATTTAACATTGACACAGGTTCTCTGGCTTTTTAGAATACTTCAAAAAAAAAAAAAAAAAACAAAATCAATTTCTGGAAATATTTTGGAACCTAAGTCAGACCGAGAGATATACCAGTTCCTGAGTTCCAGTTTCTCAGGC